GCCATCCCACCATCCCCGTGAAACACTCACTCCCCATCTTCCCAAACTGAAACTCTGTCCCCAGGAAACACTGCCACCCTTTCCCCAGCCCCTGCACCCCCATCCTACTTACTGTCTCTGTGAATCTGACCACTCTAGAGACCTCCTAGGAGTGGAGTCACCCAGGATTTGTCCCATGCCTGGCTTCTCCCACGGAGCGTGATGTCCTGAAGGTGCATCCACCCTGTAGCCCGTATCAGAACTCGTTTTTTTTTTTTTTTGAGACGGAGTTTTGCTCTTGTTACCCAGGCTGGAGTGCAATGGCGCGATCTCGGTTCACCGCAACCTCCGCCTCCTGGAGAACTCGTTTCTTTTTTTAAGGCGGAATCATATTTCATTGTGTGGATGGACCACGTTGTGTTCATTTAATTTTTTTTTTCTCTAGTATCAATGCACTCCAGCCTGGGCCACAGAGCTGGACACTGTATCTAAAATAATAATAATAATAATAATACATAATACGCTTTTTGTTTTTTCTTGAGACAGTCTCCCTCTGTCACCCAGGCTGGAGCGCAGTGTCAAGACCTTGGCTCAGTGCAACCTCCACCTCCAGGTTCAAGCACATTGCACTCCAGCCTGGGTTACAAGTGTGAAACTCTGTCTCAAAAAAAAGAAAGTGTTCTGAAATAAATTACAGCAATGATTGTACACCTCTGTGAATATACTGAAAACCACTACGTTTTATACTTTAAATGGCTGAATTCTATGGGAAATGAATTATATCTCAATAAAGCTGTTATTTTTTTCAGACAAAACAAACAATAATGTAGTGGCTCAAGTTTTTACATCAAAACTATATGAAGTTACAGGGTTTCTTTGCTTTAAAAATGGAATTGCATACTGTTTAACATTTTCCAAACATCAATTTGCAATTCTAACGCTCAGGGTCTCTCTAGTTGCTGTGGTGGAGTTACTCTGGCCGGGCGTAGTAGCTCATGCCTGTAATTCCTGTGCTTTGGGAAGCCAAGGCGGGCAGATCACTTGAACTCACGAGTTTAAGACCAGCCTGGGCAACATAGCAAGACTCTGTCTCTACAAAAAATAAAAGATCCAGGTGCGGTGGCTCACATCTGTAATCCCAGCATTTTGGGAGGCTGAGGTGGGTGGATCACAAGGTCAGGAGATCAAGAGCAGCCTGGCCAACATGGTGAAACCTCATCAAAATACAAAAAAATCTAGCCAGGCGTGGTGGCATGCGCCTGTAGTCCCAGCTACTCGGGAGGCTGAGGCAGGAGAATCGCTTGAACCCGGGAGGCAGAGGTTGCAGTGAGCTGAGATAGCACCATTGCACTCCAGCCTGGGTGAGAGAGCAAGACTCTGTCTAAAAAAAAAAAAAAAAAATTCACCTGTAATTTTAGCACTTTGGGATGCTGAGGTGGTTGGATCTCCTGAGGTCAGGAGTTCGAGACCAGCCTGGCCAACATGGTGAAACCCTGTCTCTGCTAAAAATACAAAGATTAGTTGGGCATGGTGGCATGCTCCTGTAGTCCCAGCTGAGGGAGGCTGAGGCAGGAGAATCGCTTGAACCCAGGAGGTGGAGGTTGCAGTGAGCCGAGATTGTGCCACTGCACTCCAGCCTAGGTGACAGAGTGAGACTCCATCTCAAATAAATAAATATTCCACGCAGAGCCCATTGTGAGATTTGTGTTTCTCTTCTGGAAGTCTCAGAAACTTTATTGGCCAAAATGTTGATCAAGAAAGGGGTCCAGGCTACATACGTGGCTCACGCCTGTCATTCCAGTACTTTGGGAGGCCAAGTCAAGAGGATTACCCAAGGTCAGGAGTTCGAGACCAGCTCAGCCAACATGGTGAGTCCCCCCACCCGGCCCACGTGGATTATTTAATCCTTATAGCTGCTCTACGGCTACCATCTCTGTGTGGCAGATAAAATCCCGGAGGCTCAGAAACGGTCAGTACTTTGAGGAAATCAGAGTAAGTTTTAGTGACCAGGGCGGAAATCAGACCAAGATGCGTTGAAACCCATATGGCTAATTACTACAGTATACCTCACAAGTGCAAAAAGACAGCCTATTGGCCGGGCACGGTGGCTCATGCCTGCAATCCCAGCACCTCGGGAGGCTGCCGCCAGTGGTCAGCGCTTGAGCCTAGGAGTTCAAGACCAGCCTGAGCAACATGGGTGAAACTCTGTGTCTAAAAAAATTTAAAAATTAGCTGGCATGGTGATGTGCACCTGTAGTCCTGGCCACTTTGAAGGCTGAGGTGGGAGGATCATTTGAGCCCATGTGTCGGAGGCTGAGTGAACTACGATCACACTACTGCACCGCAGCCTGGGCGACAGGGTGAGACCCTTTGTCTTACAAAAAAAAAACAACCCTACCTATAATCCCACCATCCTGACATGAATTAATGGTAGCATCTTGGTGTGTATTCTTCCAGAGTCTTCTCTATTCCATAGGCAGTCTCTCTTTTTCTGAGTTAGCATGTGTGTACAAGCGTGTGTATTTACTCTGTTGCATTGGTAATATATTTATGAGGTTCAAGATTGCTAAGTTCCAGGCCAGGCACAGTGATCAGCACATTGGGAGTCTGAGGCAGGAGGATCACCTGAGGTCAGGAGTTCGACACCAGCCTGGCCAACACGGTGAAACCCCGTCTCTACTAAAAATACAAAAATTAGCCAGGCGTAGTGGCGGGTGCCTGTAATCCCAGCTAGGCAGGAGGCAGAGGCAGGAGAATCACTTGAACCCAGAAGGTGGAGGTTGCAGTGAGCCGAGATCACACCACTGCACTCCAGCCTGGGAGACAGAGTGAGACTGTCTTAGACAAACAAACAGATTCCTAAGTTCCAGAGAGCATACATACAGTAAAATGTGTGCGTGTACCTCTCCCGCCTCCTGATTTTCCTCTGTAAAACCAGACGATATCACCGAGTTGCAGTGCACCAAGCCGGTAGCCTGCAGGTGAGGGGGCAGTGCCCGGTGTACCCCAGGATTTTCAGGGGCACTTTTCAGTCTGCGGAACGTTCCCTGTTGGCATGGTCAGGGCGTGTTGGTTTCGTGGTCCAACTGCCATGTCTTGTGCGTGGCCGGCTGCGTTTCAGAATTTTAATAAGCACACCCGGGATTCTACCTAAGGGCTTGGCTGTCGCTTCCCCAAACGCAGTCAGATATTTTTGGCCTGGTCGTCCCGGATGCGTGGGCCTGTGACTCACGGTAGCTTCCCCTGGGTGGAGCCCCTGTGTCTATTAGCAGTTTTCTTTTCCTTTTTCTTTTTTTTTTTAAACGGAGTCTCACTCTGCTGCCCAGGCTGGAGGGCAATGGCATGGTTTCTGCTCACTGAAACCTCCACCTCCCGGGATTGAGCGATGCTCCCGCCTCAACCTCCCGAATAGCTGGGACTACAGGTGCACACCACCATGTCCAGCTATTTTTTGTATTTTTAGTAGAGGCGGGGTTTCACCATGTTGGCCAAGCTGGTCTCGAACTCTTGACCTCGTGATCCGCCCGTCTCAGCCTCCCAAAGTGCTGGGATTCCAGGCGTGAGCCACCGCGCCCGGCTGTCTGTTAGCAGTTTTCTAAGAAGGAAGTGTACATGACCATGCTTGGGCAGCAGGTGCCCTTGCTGGGTTTCCAAGGTTGAATTCTGAAAAGCCAGAATTTTCTGTGTACAGCAGGAATGTGTGATACATGGAGCATGCTTTCTTAAGGCACTCCTGGAATTCCAGAAGAAGGAAGAAGCCTTATGTCTCCCAGTCTGAGCCTGTGGATTTGTTAACGTGGGCTTCACAAAGGAACACTTGAATTAGCCGGGCATGGTGGTGGGCGCGTGTAGTCCCAGCTACTGGGGAGACTGAGGCAGGAGAATCCCTTGAACCCAGGAGGCCTCCCAGGTAGCTGGGACTACAGGTGCAGGCCACCACGCCCAGCTAATTTTTTTTTTTTTTTGGAGACAGAGTATTGCTCTGTCGCCCAGGCTGGAGCGCAGTGGCACCGTCTCCGCTCACTGCAGCCTCTGCCTCCCAGGTTCAAGCAATTCTTGGTCTCAGCCTCCTGAGTAGCTGGGATTACAGGCGCCCAGTACCACGCCTGGCTAATTTTTATATTTTTAGTAGAAATGGGGTGTCACCATCTTGGCCAGGATAGTCTCGAACTCCTGAGGTTGCAGTGAGCTGAGATCACTGCACTGCACTCCAACCTGGGTGACAGAGCGAGACCCTCTCTCAAAAAAATTTTTTTGAGAAGTCTATAGTAAGAAGATAAGGTGTGGTGGTGCGCTCCTGTAATCTCAGCACTTTGGGAGGCTGAAGGGGGCAGATGCTTGAAGTCAGGAGTTCAAGACCAGTTTGGTCAACATGGTGAAACCCCATCTCTATTAAAATTATGCTGGGCACAGTGGCTCATGCCTGTAATCCCAGCATTTCTGGAGCCGAGGTGGGTGGATCATGAGGTCGGCGGTTCAAGATCATCCTGGTCAAGATGGTGAAACCCCATCTCTACTGAAAATACAAAAATCAGCTGGGCACGGTGGTGGGTACTTGTAATCCCAGCCACTCAGGAGGCTGAGGCAGAGAACTGCTTCAACACGGGAGGCAGAGGTTGCAGTGAGCTGAGATCGCTGCACTGTACTCCAGCCTGGGCAACAGAGCCTGACTCTGTCTCAAAAAAACAAAACAAAACAAAACTTACCCAGGCGTGGCAGCGTGCTCCTGGAGTCCCAGCTACCCAGGAGGCTGAGGTGGGAGAATCACTTGAACCCAGGAGCGGGAGGTTGCAGTGAGCCGAGATCACGCCATTGCACTCCAGCCTGGGCAACTGAGCAAGACTCCATCTTAAAAAAAATAATAATTAGAAAAATAAAGGGACATTTGAACTTCCCTGGCGTCAGGCAATGGCGGAATGGGGACAGCAGGCCTCTGCTACCCGCCAAGTTCCTGTGCTGGGCCGGGGGCTGCCCCCAGTGTGCAGACCCCCTCTTAGGCCACCTCTCGCCCCTTGCTGCAGACCTCCTGGGAGCATCTGGGAGGGCAGAAGCACAGAAAGAAGGAGGTGGCCCAGAAGACAGGCATGCAGCCCAACGGCAGCTCGCGGGGGGTGCAGGCGCAGCTCCGCTGTGACCTATGCGCCGGGTCCTGGACGTCAGCCTCCCAAGTAGCTGGGACTACAAGCCTGTGCCACCATGCTGGGCTAATTTTTGCGTTTTTAGTAGAGACGGGGTTTCACCGTGTTGGCGAGGATGGTCTCCAACTCCTGACCTCAGGTGATCCACCGCCTCGGCCTCCCAGAGTGCTGGGGTTACAGGCGTGAGCCACCGCGCCTGGCCTCTTCTGGTAGAATTTGGGCTGCTACTGGGTGCTGGGGTTCTCTGGAAGCTCCCCCCGCCTGCACGCTGAGGGTTCCCTGAACTGCCACCTCCACTGGGCTCCCCTGCATGCCCTGGGGCTCACAGTGAACAAACTGGGCTCAGAACCAGTTATGTGGGTACCAGGAGATGAAGGTGGCATCCTTTCGCCCTCCCCTGTGGCCCTGCCTGCCCTGCGTGCGAAGCCCCAGCTGTCCGCGCTGACCCGCGGTGACTAGGGTTCAATGCCAGGCTTTGTGTGTGTCGCTTCACTTTCCCTCCATGACAACTCTTCTTCATGGGTTTTTGTTTGTTTTTTGAGACAGCCTCGCTTTGTCACCGGGTCTAGAGTACAGAGGTGCTATCATAGCTCACTGCAGCCTCTGCCTCCTGGGCTCAAGCGATCCTCCCAGCTCGGCCTCCTGAGTAGCTGGGACTGCAGGTTTGCACCACCACTCCCCACTACTTTATTTTTATTTTTATTTTTTTTTAGAGATGGGGTCTTGCTATGTCCCTCAGGCTGGTCTGAAACTCCTAGGCTTAAGTGATCCTCCTGCCTCGGCCTCCCACAGTGCCGGGATTCCAGGCGTGAGGCGTGAGCCACTGTGCCCAGCCCGAAACTCATTGAAGTCGATGTTGACACCAGTCCCAGCGTGTAGATGGAAAAGCCGTGAACAGTGGAGGTGGAACTGGAGCTGTCTGTGTGAGAGCCTCTACCCTGGACCGCCCTGCTGTGTGCATGCGCCGGGGCTGGGGGACGCTCTGTTTTTAGCCTCAGTACCCTTGATTCTTGAATAGCCACGTGATTTTGAAGCTGGAGCCCTCAAGTCATGCTGATAACAGACATTTGTCTGCCCTGAGGCTCCACAATACTGCCCAGCGGGGGCAGGTTAAGTGGGAGCCTTGGTCCACCTGATACTTGATCATCCATTAACTAAGGGACGTGGACTTTGTGCCGTCGGTGGGTTCCTCAAGCAAAGACCTAAAACCAGCACTTCTCCGCCGACAGATTGAAATTGGCCTCACAGGCCCGGCGCGGTGGCTCATCCCTGTAATCCCAGCACTCTGGGAGGCTGAGGTGGGTGGATCACGGGGTCAGGACTCTGAGGCCAGCATGGGGAAACCCCGCCTCTACTAAAAATGCAAGAAATTAGCTGGGCGTGGTGGTGCACACATATAGTCCCAGCTACTCGGGAGGCTGAGGCCGGAGAATTGCTTGAACCTGGGAGGTGGAGGTTGCAGTGAGCCGAGATCACGCCGCGGCACTCCAGCCTGGGTGACGGAGCAAGACTCCATCTCAGAAAAGCAAGCAAGCAAGCAAGCGGCCTTTTCTCGGCTGGGTCGCACGCTGGCATGAAAGGGAGGGTGAGGTCGCTCCCAGGCCATCCCGCCCCCCTCCTATCGGGAGGAGGGAAGGGGATGGCAGAGCCCAGGGTCTAGGTGGCTCTCCACCCCTGCCGCCGCAGTGACATGGTTCTTCCCCTCAGGGCCTCCTGAGCCACAGGCAGCAGCCTGCCGACCCCAGAGGGAGAAACCAACCCCACCCAAATCGGAGGGTCCCGGAGCACCCGCCCGAGGAGACTCGGAGGAAGCTCCACAGGGCTGCTCTGATGCGCAGCCAGTGGGGCCAGAATATGTGGAGGAGGTAGGTGGAGGCAGGTGGAGGCCGACAAGCCCTGGTGCTCCAGTTAGGGAAGGGCCCTCCCGGGGCTCAGGCTTTGAGACCTCCTCCAGGTTCTCCCAGCGACATTTACGAACCAGCCCAGTTCCTGAGTTGCCCCCGCAGACCTGCCTGACACTGTGGGTGCCGGATGTCGGATATTAGCAGGAAATGAATGAATATGGATCTGTGAGGGTCAGAGACAGGCGGAGGCATTGCCCCCAGGGGTCCCTGAGGAGCTGCCTGTCTGGGAGGCGGAAAGGACACCAGGCAGTGGAAGGTCCCTGAGAGGTTGCAGGCCTGTCTGTCCAGCCCCTTTCCTGGGCCTGGGGGACCTGGCCAAGTTCCCAGCCAGCGGCAGCTCAGACCCTTGAGCTGGTTGGCCTTGCACGTTCCAGAGAGGCAGGGCTGGGTTTCCTCTGCCTTGCCTGTAGGCCTGGGATTCTTCTTCTTCTTTTTTTTTGTTTTTAAGATACAGAGTCTTGCTCTGTCACCCAGGCTGGAGTGCCATGGTTCCATCACACTGCAGCCTTGACCTCCTGGGCTCAGTCCATCCTCCCACCTCCCAAGCAGCTGGGACTACAGGCGTGAGCCATCATTCCCAGCTAATTATTTATTTTTTTGTAGAAACACGGCCTCGCTATGTTGACCAGGCTGGTCTTGAACTTTCAGGCTCAAGCAGTCCTCCCGCCTCCCACGGTGGTGCGTACCTGTAGGAGTTTGAGGCTGCAGTGAGCTGAGATCGAGCCACTGCACTTCAGTCTGGGTGACAGCAAGACCCTGTCTCTAAAAATAAATAAATAAGGGCCAGCGCAGTGGCTCACGCCTGTAGTCCCAACACTTTGGGAGGCTGAGGCAGGTGGATCACGAGATCAGGAGTTCGAGACCAGCTTGACCAACATGGTGAAACCCGTCTCTACCAAAAATACAAAAACCAGCCGAGTGTCATAGCACACACCTGTGATCCCAGCTACTCGAGAGGCTGAGGCAGGAGAATTGCTTAAACCTGGAGGCGGAGGGGGCTCATGTCCTCCCGGCCTCGTGCCCGGTGCGCGTGCTGCTGTGTCTTGTGCCTCAGGTGTGCAGCGCTTCGCTTCCATTGCAAGCTGTGCCAGTGCAGTTTCAACGACCCTAATGCCAAGGACCTGCACGTGACGGGGCGGCGGCGGCGGCGGCGGCTGCAGTACCGGGTGTGTCCAGCAGGGGGAGCCCCGACACCCATCCGGGCGGCTTGGCCCAGGCGGGCGCTGGCAGGGAGCCCTCTGGTCCGGTGATCCCACGAACTCAGAGGGTGGGGCGATTGTTTTTTTTCCGACGTCTTCGTTCACGTCTCAAAGTGCATCTTGGGCGGGGTGCGGTGGCCGACGGGTGTCATCCCCATGCTTTGGAATGTTGAGCAAGAGGCTCACCGGAGGTCAGGAGTTCGAGACCAGCCTGGCCAACATGGTGAAACCCCGTCTCTACTAAAAATACAAAACTTGGCCGGGCGTGGTGGCGCGCGCCTGTAGTCCCAGCTACTCGGGAGGCCGAGGCAGGAGAATCGCTTGAACCCGGGAGGCGGAGGTTGCAGCGAGCTGCGATCACGCCACTGCACTCCAGCCCAGGCGACAACTGTGAAACTCTGTCTCAAAAAAAAGACTTTGGGAGATTGCAGCCCAACGGTTCTAGTCTCGGGGCCTCTCCCTGCACCCTGAGACCCTCCCGGCACCCCTGTCTAAAGCAATCATCTCACAGCCTGGCCTCTCCTTCCAGAAGAAAGTGAACCCCAACCTTCCCATCGCCACAGAGCCCAGCAGCCGGGCTCGGAGGCTCCTGGAAGAACGGATAAGGAAGCGGCGGCGCCTGGCGGAGGAGCGGCTGGAGGAGCTGCGGCGCTGGCACGCGGAGAGGAGGTGCCCAGGGGGTCTTGGCAAGGGGGCCTGAAGAGCGAGGGCAGGTCCAGATGGAAGCAGACGCCCGCCGCTGCAGACTGTTGGCTCCCCCGTGTGCGCTCTTAGGCAGTGTGGGAGACGGGTGCCCAGGCAGTGGCCACATCCTGGTGTGGGAGCATGAGAGGGTTCCAGAGCAGACTAGACATGTGGGCGCCAGGGCCTCCACAGACACTGCCTGCCAACCCACTGGACCACACAGCTGCAGAGTTGCCTGGTGACCCTGCATCTCCCTGACCCCTGGTGTGCTCCATGACCCATGGCCCCTAACTCCTGGAGTCCCCTGTGTCCCCTGAACTCTCATGTGCCCTGTGACCCCTGACCCCTGGAGTCCCCTGTGACCCCTGACCCTTGGTGTCCCTGTGTCCCTGTGACCCCTGGTGTCCCTGTGTCCCCCTGACCCCTGGTGTCCCCGTGTCCCCCTGACCCCTGGAGTCCCCTGTGTCCCCCTGACCCCTGGAGTCCCCTGTGTCCCCCTGACCCCTGGAGTCCCTTGCGTCCCCTGACCCCTGATGTTCCCTGTGTCCCCCTGACCCCTGGAATCCCATGTCTATCCCAGAGCATTTTCTGATGGAACATCTGACTCTGGTGTGTCCAGCAGCAGCAGGTCCGCATTGGGAAGGGATCCAGGACCTCCTGAGGGCCGCAGCCACCCGGGCTGGGCCTCTTTTGTCTAAAGGCATGTCTTTGTCCACCCTGTGAGCCCCCTTCCTTCCCAGCGTCAGTCTTCTGTGCATACAGCAGGCGCCCATGCAGTGTGGTAGAGCCTCAGTGAGAGCTTCGGCCCTGCCTTCCTTGCCGGGAGCACGAGGCCCCAGCGTCTCTGATGTACCCCAGCTGAGGGCTGCGGCTGGCCTGAGCCGTAGATTGGCCCTTTGCATCTGTCCCGTCTCCATCCCGAAGGCGGCTGGAGGAGGAGCCACTGCTCCAGGACGAGGAGTCCCATGCGCTGCCACACACGTCGCCCGACCGGCCCCCGCCTCTGCTCAAGGGCAGGCCGGGGCCACCTGCCAGCGCCCCATTCCTGGTAGGTGCGGCGGGTGTTGTCCTCTGCGCACAGATGTGGGCGACCTCACACCCCCCTGGGCAGCAGACCCGTCCTTAGGAGACCCCGGCCTCGTCCCAGGCTCCCACATAGTACTGAGGTGATGGGGCTGCCACGGCCAGGCCCCCTCGCTCCCTAGATGGGAGCCCCAGCACCCCAGCACCCCAGCCCCTCCCGCTGGGGCACACAGGTCCATCTGCTTCCTGGAGCCCCGGGTGGTCACCTCCCGTGGGGAGCCTCCTGCCTCTGTGGCCACCACTGTGTCTTCTCAGATGCATCTGTCCCTGCAGCCCAAGACCCCAGGTCAATAGGAACCTTTTTTTTTTTTTTTTGAGACAGAGTCTGGCTGTCACCCAGGCTGAGGTACAGTGGTGCAATCTCAGCTCATTACAAGCTCTGCTTCTCAGGTTTAAGCGATTCTCGTGCCTCAGCCTCCCTGGTAGCTGGGACTCTGGTGCCCGCCATTACGCACGGCTATTGTTTGTATTTTTTTTTTTTTTTTTTTTTGAGGAGGAGGAGTTTCGCTCTTGCTACCCAGGCTGGAGTGCAATGGTGCGATCTCGGCTCACCGCAACCTCCGCCTCCTGGGTTCAGGCAATTCTCCTGCCTCAGCCTCCTGAGTCGCTGGGATTACAGGCACCATGCCCAGCTAATTTTTGTATTTTTAGTAGAGACGGGGTTTCACCATGTTGACCAGGATGGTCTCGATCTCTTGACCTCCTGATCCACCCGCCTCGGCCTCCCAAAGTGCTGGGATTACAGGCTTGAGCCACCGCGCCCGGCCTATTGTTTGTATTTTAAGTAGGGACGGGGTTTCGCCATGTTGGCCAGGCTGGTCTGGAACTCCTGACCTCAGGTGATCCACCCGCCTCAGCCTCCCTAAGTGCTGGGATTACAGGCGTGAGCCACCATGCCCAGCCTAAATGGGAACCTTAGATTTGCACCTTGCTTTGGGGAACAGGTTCCCAGGCTGACTCAAAAGCCTCTGGTCTGGAAATGTAAGAATGCGGCCAAAAGTGGGGGTCCCCTCAATCCCCCACCCCTCTCAGACCCAAGCTTCCTGTAGCCATCCAGGGCAGCTCAAGGCACCTCCCTGTTCTCCACCCCGGGGCTCTCCATGTGCTGGATTCTCACCTGGCCACATTGCTGCCTCGTAACCCAGCTGGGCACGGCCACCTGCTCCCACCTGCCCACCTGCCCAGCACTCCCCAGGAGACCCCACAGCCCACCCTTGACATGCTTGGCCTCTCCCCACAGCCCAGGCGGTGGCTGGCGTCCAGTGAGGACCGGCAGGTCATGTGCGGGCATGCCGCCAATCTACCCCACGGAGCAGGAGCTCCTGGCTGTGCAGAGGGCCGTGTCCCACGCCAAGCGGGCCCTCAAGCTGGTGTCCGACACGCTGGCCGAGGAGGACCACAGGCACTAAGAGGGAGAGAGCGGCACGTGCAGGTGGCTGGAGATCCCCTTCTCCGGGCCCGGCTCTCAGGCAGGACAGAGGTCAGTGCCTCCAGACGAGACCCTGCAGGAATCCCCAGCTCTGATGGGCCTGGAGCTCTCGGTGGCCGGGGCAGCTTTCCAGTCCCTGGAGTGGGAAGTTCCCAGAGCTCAGAGCTGGAGCTTCTGGGCGCTGATCAAGTCTGAGTTGAAGCGGTGATCCATGCTGTTCTAATGCCTTAGCGCTCCCTTTGCTATTGAAGGCACATCTAAAAACATAGTTCATGGGCTAGGCACGGTGGCTCACACCTGTAATCCCAGCACTTTGGGAGGCTGAGGTGGGTGGATCACCAGGTCAGGCGTTCGAGACCAGCCTGACCAACATAGTGAAACCCTGTCTCTACTAAAAATACAAAAAAACAGCCAGGCATGGAGGTGTGCACCTGTAATCCCAGCTACTTGGAGGGAGAGGCAGAATCACTTGAACCTGGGAGGCAGAAGTTGCAGTGAGTCGAGATGGCGCCACTGTACTCCAGCGTGGGTGGCAGTGCAAGACTCCATCTCAAAAAAAAAAAAAAAAAAAAAAAAAGGCCGCACGTCGTGGCTCACACCTGTAATCCCAGCACTTTGGGAGGCCAAGGCGGATCATGAGGTCAGGCGATCCAGACCATCCTGGCTAACATGGTGAAACCCCTTCTCTACTAAAAGTACAAAAAAAATTAACCAGGTGTGGTGGTGCGCACCTGTCATCCCAGCTACTCAGGAGGCTGAGGCAGGAGAATTGCTTGAACCTGGGAGGCGGAGGTTGCAGTGAGCCGGGATCACGCCACTGCACTCTAGCCTGGTGTCTGGCGACAGAGCAAGACTCTGTCTCAAAAAAAACCCAAAAAAACCCGTAGTTGATGAGGAATTGACAGTCTCTGTAAACCTTAGTTTCCTCATCTGCAAAAGGAAGCTGAGCATGATTCTGAAAGGACATCTCTGCCTCGGGGAGTCACTGAGTAATCAGAGTAGCTCATGTCACTGAGCACCCGTGTGAATCAGCTCCAGGCCCCTGTGATTCTTAGGAAGCAAGAAAGTCCCTGTGTCTCCTAAGTCATTGCCACGGAGTGAAGTCATCCGAGTGGGAGTTACCTTTTTTCAAAGTCCTTCCTGCTTTGGTAGCTGCTGGTTTTGTTTTGTTTAAAGAAGCAGGATCTGTTACCCAGCCTGGAGTGCAATGGTGGGATCAGAGCTCACTGAGCCTCAGACCCCCATGTGTTCACGCTATCCTCTCACCTCAGCCTCCCGAGTAGCTGGGACTACAGGCGCCCACCACCACACCCAGCTAATGGTTAACTTTTTGTAGAAATAGGGGTCTCGCAGCTGGGTGTGATGGCTCACCCCTATAATTCCAGCACCTTGGAAGGCTGAGGCGGGTGGATCATGAGGTCAGGAGACGGAGACCATCCTTGTTAACACAGTAAAACCCGTCTCTACTGAAAATATAAAATGATTAGCCGGGTGTGGTGGTGCGTGTCTGCAATTGCAGCTCCTTGGGAGGCTGAGGCAGGAGAACCGCTTGAACACGGGAGGAGGACGTTGCAGTGAGCTGAGACTGCACCAATGCACTCCAGCCTGGCCGATAGACGGAGACTCCACCTCAAAAAAAAAGAAAAAGAAATGGAATCTTGCTGTGTTGGCCAGGCTGGTCTTGAACTCCTGGGCTCAAGCAATCCTCTTGCCTCAGCCTCTCAAGCAGCTGAGACTAGACATGTCACCACCCCCGCTGGCTAATTAAATTTTTTTTTTTAAGAGACGTCTTGTTATGTTAGCCAGTCTGGTCTTGAACTCCTGGACTCCTGGGCTCAAGCGATCCTCCCAGCTCAGCCTCCCAAAGTGTCAGGAGGCTCAGGTTCACTTTCCTCTTTGAATGCTTTGCTTTTTTTTTTTTTTTTTTTGACAGAGTCTTGCTCTGTCACCCAGGCTGCAGCTCAACCTCAGCTCACCACAACCTCCTTATCCAGGGTTCAAGTGATTCTCCTGCCTCAACCTCCTGAGAAGCTGGGATTACAGGCATGCGCCACCACATCCAGCTAATTTTTGTATTTTTAGTAGAGACGGTTTCACCATGTTGGTCAGGCTGGTCTCGAACTCCTGACCTCAGGTGATCCGCCCATCTTGGCCTCCCAGAGTGCTGGGATTACAGGCATGAGCCACCGTGCCTAGCCTGAATGCTTTTCTTTTTGGTAAAGTCTACCTAACAAAATAGTTAGCTTTTTCACCATGTCTAAGTGCACTGTTCAGGGGCATGAAATTTCACACAGTTCTGCCACTGTCGCCCCGTCCACCCCCAGAACAGTCTCATCTTCCCAAACTGAAACTCTCTCGATTAAGCAAACTCCTCATTTTGAGTCACACACCCACGCATGGTCCCCGCCCCCGTCTCTGTGGATTGGCCTGCGCTGGACAGTTCATAGAAATGGGGTCACACACCATGTGGCCTTTCATGTCCGGCTGTCTCACTCTGCCTGAGGGCTTCCTTCTGCTGGAGTAGAGAGTACTGACTCCATCGAGGAAGTGCGAGCCTCACACTGTGCGTTGCAAAGTGTCCCGATACAATCCACACCCAGCACCTTGCCCGCTGCTTTCTTTTCCTGGTTTTTTTTTGAGGCTGATTCCCACTCTGTTGTCCAGGCTGGAGTGCAGTGGTGTGATTTCGGCTCATAGCAACCTCTGCCTCCTCCTGGGTTCAAGCGATTCTCCTGCCTTAGCCTTCCAAGTGCTAGAACTACAGGCATGTGCCACCACGCCCAGCTAAGTTTTCCTTTAATTATTACTATGTTGTTATTATTATTTTGAGACAAAGCCTCACCCTGTCTCCCAGGCTGGAGTTCAGTGACACGATCTTAGCTCACTGCAGCCTCTACCTCCCAGGTTCAAGCAGTTCTCCTGCCTCAGCCTCCTGAGTAGCTGAGATTACAGGCACGTGCCACCACACCCGGCTAATTTTTGTATTTTTACTGGAGATGGGGTTTCACCACGTTGGCCAGGCTGGTTTCAAACTCCTGACCTCACGTGATCAGGAGTTGGATCAAAAGTGCTGGGATTACAAGGTGTGAGCCACCACGCCCGTCCTGGGTTCCTGAATTTTCTTAACCCCAGTGAATCAAGGGCACAAAGAAGCATTGCTTTTTGTTTTTTCTGGAACCCACGTGAAGCCAAAACAACCATGTGACAAAGTGCCTGAACGCTGGAGGCGTCAGACCTCTCGGGGCATGCCTGGGGCTTAGCGTTTGCTCACAAGGAAGGAAAGTGTGGGTCTGGCCACTGTCTTGGCTACCCCGAGGCTTGCTCGGTGGCAGCACCTTCGAGATGGATCTCACAGTGTCCCATTTCTTTTTTTTTTTCCTTTTTTTAGTGATGGGGTTTCACCATGATGGCCAGGCTGGTCTTGAACTCCTGACCTCAGGTGATCCACCCACCTTGGCCTCCCAAAGTGCTAGGATTACAGGCGTGAGCCACCACGCCCGGCCACAGTGTCCCATTTCATCCTGCAAGCGCCTTGGACAGAGTGGCCTGGTCACATTTCATGGACGAGGACGCCAAGGCATAGAGAGGCTTTGCAAATTGTGGGGTCCCCGTAGCTCAGAAGCGAGGCAGCTGGGGTACCCGTTGCCTCTCCGCTGATGGCGCACGTCTGTGGCTTTGTCCCCACAGCAGCGTGGCCCCCCAGGCTCGGGTCCTGAAAGGAGTCATGCGGGTAGGCATCCTGGCCAAGGGCCTCCTCCTGCGTGGGGACAGGAACGTGTGTCTCGCCCTGCTCTGCTCCGTGAAGCCCACGCACGGCCTGCTGCGAAGGATTGCGCAGCAGCTTCCCCGGCAGCTCCAGGTGAGGTCAGAACCCTGTTCATCGCTGCTCCCCGGTGTCTGGCTGCCAGCCCTCTCCCCACAGCCCCTCGAGCTCCTAGATGGCAGGGGACCTTTGTTACAACACAATTTTAAGATACAAGCAGCAGGCCAGGCGAGGTGGCTCACGCCTGTAATCCCAGCACTTTGGGAGGCTGAGGCAGGTGGATCACCTGAAGTCAGGAGTTCGAGACCAGCCTGGTCAACATGGTGAAACCCGTGTCTACTAAAAATACAAAAATTAGCTGGGCGTGGTGGCAGGTGCCTGTAATCCCAGCTACTCAGGAGGCTGAGGCAGGAGAATCGTTTGAGCCCTGGAGGCGGAGGTTGCAGTGAGCTGAGATCACACCACTGCACTCCAGCCTGGGTCACAGAGTGAGACTCCGTCTCTAAAAAAAGAAAAATCGGTCCCCAGAGTAGTCCCTTCTTCCTGAATGTCTGTCACAGTCCCTGGGGGAACTCAGCCTTACTCCTTTGAGTTTTCCAGTGGGCACTGGATACCCAGGGGCTGGGAAGTGCCTGATTGGGTAGACAGTATTCCCCATAGAAGGACCACCACCTGCAGAGCCCAAAGCCGGAGGTCCAGAGCGAGGAGGAGTGGGTGTGAGCGGATGAGAGGGTGCCTGGATCAAGCCCGGCCTGAAGGCCATACCCAGAGGTAGGATTGCATTCTCAGGGAAATGTGGAGGCCAGAGGGTTTTGAGCAGGGGAGTGACACGCTCTGACTTCACCAATTGCATCTTTTCCTACACACCTGCAACATGACGGTGGTTCAGATACAGCCCCTGCTTTCTGGAAAACCTGCAGCCCAGTGGCAAAGACAATTCCTGAGGCCCACGAGACTGGCTAAGGCTGTGGGGAGGCGTGCAGCATCCACCCCAGTGACGTCAACAGAGCTCCCGGGGGCTGCCTTGCAGCAGGGAGGCCCTGCAAAGGGAAGGGATGGAGGATTAGGAGAGAGGTGGGTTTCAGGTGTGGGCACAGGCCACATGGAGGGTGGTGACCGTGGGCAGGAAGGCCAGACTTCGACACAGACCTCTTGAGTTAGGTCCCTCTCGCAGGAGATGAGGGCATCTCGTTATAGTTTTAATTTACTCCTCCCTGACTACGGGTGACGTGTGTTGTGTAAAAAGGCCCGTGTGCGTTTCTTTTTCTGCCAGTTGCCAGTTTTTTATTGGATTGCTGGTCTTTTTCTTACTGGATTGCAGGTGTTCTTTACATATGGAGGCTCCTTACATCACAGGGTCTGTTGTCTGCACAGATAGCTACACGTGTGCGCTCCTAGAGGGCTGCGGCTGTGTCTCGCTCACTTGGAGGTTCCAGACACGGGGCACAGGGCCTGGCACCCAGGCAGCAAGTGTGGGAGGCTTGACAGGGTTAACCTGCACACACCAACCGTGTCCTGGCTGATTCACACATGATTCGGGGCTGCAGTAAGGTGGCCTCGTGCTGTATTTGCCCCTCCCAGATGGTGACCGAGGATGAGTATGAGGTCTCCTCCGACCCCGAAGCCAACATTGTCATCTCCTCCTGCGAGGAGCCCAGGATGCAGGTCACCGTATCCGTCACCTCACCCCTGATGCGGGAGGACCCCTCCACGGACCCAGGTGTGGCCCAGGCCTGCCTTCCAGCCACTGTCCCCCGAACACTTCCCTGGGGCACTGCCCACACCCAGGCCTGAGCAGAAAATGCAGCAGCAGCCACCCTCCAGCACTGCTGTCCCCCTGGGTCACATGGGAGCTGGGTCTCGGGGCAGCAGAGGGGGTGAGCTGGTGAGCAGCACCGTGTCCCCTCCCTTCCCTCACCCGGGGTGGCACCTGCTTCTCCAGCACTGGTGACACCAGCCCCAGTGGCAACAGGCAGGTCTGAGCCATTTCTCCTGTGTCACAGCAGAAGCTCAGTTTGACCGTGTCCATCAGTCACCGCGGTCCCAGTGCCACTGAGTAGGGATGTGGGGACACGGGGGCGCTGAAAGCCAGACCTGCCAGGCCTGGAAGGATGGGTGAGGGGCCGGGCCAGGCTGGAGGCAGTGAGGGTCTTGGCCAGCAAGCCCTGCAGAGGCGGGCATCGGGAACACACTGCATGTCTGTGCTCCCGAAGTCTCAGCCAGCTGTGGAATCTTCCAGAACAGTCTCTAGGGCAGTTCGCAAAACTCCCGTCATCTTTCACCCGTTCATAGTCTTTTTTGGTCATAACTGAGGGCCGTGACCTACTGATGTTTATCTTTTAATCAATTTGGGTTGTTTGTTTTTTGAGACAGAGTCTTGTTCTGTCACCCGGGCTGGAGTGCAGTGGTGCGATCTCAGCTCACTGCAACCTCCACCTCCTGGGTTCAAGCGATTCTCCTGCCTCAGCCTCTCGGGCAGCTGAGACTACAGGGCTGAGCCACCATGCCTTGCTAATTGTTTTATATTTTTAGTAGAGACGGGGTTTTACCAGGTTGGCCAGGCTGGTCTCAAACTCTTGACCTCAGGCGATCTGCCCACCTCAGCCTCTCAAACTACTGGGATTACAGGTGTGAGCCACCATGCCCAGCCATCCCCATTTGTTTTTTTGTTTTTTTGAGACAGAATCTTGCTCTTGTTGCCCAGGCTGGAGTGTCATGGCGCGATCTCAGCTCACTGCCACCTCCACCTCCCGGGTTCAAGCGATTCTCTTGCCTCAGCTTCCTGAGTAGCTGGGATGACAGGCACGCGCCACCATGCCCAGCCAATTTTTGTATTTTTAGTAGAGACGGGGTTTCACCATGTTAGTCGGGCTGGTTTCAAACTCCCGATCTCAGGTGATCCGCCCACCTCAGCCTCCCAAAATGTTGGGATTACAGGCGTGAGCCACCATTCCCAGCCATCCCCATTTGCTTTTTAAAGCTTAAGTTTTTTTTTTTTTTTTTTTTTTTTTTTTTTTTTTAAGGAGAACCTTTAAGTCATCAAGTGGGAAGCCATGATCGGTCCTCATAAATAGTCATCTAAAACATAGGCACAGTGTGGCGAAGAAAGAGCCTTTCGGTGCTAGCTGAAGGCTCTGACAAACTCCGAGGCGGTTGTGACGCGGCGGGGGCGGGGGACGGGTAAAGGGTTGGCGGCCACTAGACAGTGGCTCTTTCCTGACTTGGGTGGGTGATTAAGTGAGCGGAAATCCTTCTGTGAGGACATATCAGCGACAGAAGAGCCCCGTGAGCCACCCCCCCCAGGAAACTGCACTTCCTGTCCGCCTTTTCCTGCCCATTTGGGGCCGTGAGCTTCTAAAACTCCCTTTCTAGGCTGGCCACAGTGGCCCATGGCTCTAATCCCGGCACATTTGGAGATGGAGGTGGGAGGATCGCTTGACTCCAGGAATTCCAGACCAGCCCGGGCAATGTAGTGAGACCCCCGTCTCTAAAAAGAAAAAAAGAAAATTGGCCAGGTGCGGGGGCTCACGCCTGTAATCCCAGCACAAGGCCAGCAGTTCACCTGAGGTCAGGAATTCGAGACCAGCCTGGCCAACCTGGTGAAACCCCATCTCTACTGAAAATATAAAAAATTAGCCAGGCTTGGTGGCAGGCACCTGTAATCCCAGCTACTCAGGAGGCTGAGGCAGGAGAATTGCTTGAATCTGGGAGGCGGAGGTTGTAGTGACCCGAGATCGCGCCATTGTACTCCAGCCTGGGCAACAGAGAGAGACTCCATCTCTAAATAAATATTAGCCCGGTGTGCTGGCGCACACCTGGAGTCCCAGCTACTCAGGAGGCTAGGGCAGGAGGATCATGTGAGCTATGATCGCACCACTGCACTCCAGCCTGGGCCACAGAGCGAGACCCTGTCTCTAAATACACAAAAATAAAAATTTTAAAAAAACCATTCCTCATATACACCTCTGCCATTTCCCTCTAAGCCCCAAAGGAGTCATTTCCCTGACAGACCAGCAGGGCTATTTGTGGACAGAGGGGAAACCTGTGTGCCATCACGTGACCTACATGAACTCAGCGTCTCCCACAGTATTGCATGTAATGAAATAAGAAAAATATCCCATTTTGTTTCTTGGTTTTTAAGAGACAGGGTCTAAACTGTGGTCCAGGCTGGAGTGCAGTGGTGCAGTCACAGCTCACTGCAGCCTCGACCTCTGGGGCTCCAGCAACCCTTCCACCCCAGCCTTCCGAATAGCTGGGACCACAGGTGTGTGCCACCACACCAGCTAATTTCATTTTTTGTAGAAACGGGGTCTCACCGTGTTGCCCAGGCTGATCTCAAACTCCTGGGCTCAAGCTATCCTCCTGCCTCAGCCTCCCAAAGTGCTGGGATTACAGGCGTGAGCCACTGTGTACAGCTGAGAAATTTTGTGTGTGTGTGTGATGGAGTCTTAACTCTGTCACCCAGGCTGGAGGGCACTGGCGAGATCTCGGCTCACTGCAACCTCTGCTCCTCAGATTAAAGTGATTCTCCTGCCTCAGCCTTCTGAGTTGCTGGGATTACAGGCATGCACCACCACGCCTGGCTAATTTTTGAATTTTTAGTAGAGATGGGTTTTTGTCATGTTGGCCAGGCTGGTCTTGACCTCCTGACCTTGTGATCTGCCTACCTCGGCTTCCCAAAGTGCTGGGATTACAGGTGTCAGCTGCTGTGCCCAGCTGAGAAAAATATTCTTTTTTATTTTTTTTTGAGATGGAGTCTTGCTCTATAGCCCAGGTTGGACTGTAGTGGCTCGATCTCAGCTCACTGCAACCTCCGCCTCCCGGATCCTGGGTTCAAGCAGTTCTGCCTCAGCCTCCCAAGTAGCTGGGATTACAGGCACGTACCACCATGCCTGGCTAATTTTTGTCTTTTTTAGTAGAGACAGAGTTTCACCATGTTGACCAGTTTGGTCTTGAACTCCTGACCTCGTGATCCGCCCACCTCGGCCTCCCAAAGTGCTGGGATTACAGGCGTGAGCCACCGCGTCCGGCCGAGAAAAATAGTCGTAAAGGCAAATAATAACCGGGGAGAGAACAGGGATCCACAGTCTCTCCCAGACTCTGGAGTCGTCGTTGTCAATGACAGGACGTGTTGAAATCTGACCCGCTTTCTCCCTTTCCATGATGCATGTGGAAGTTTCTAGAAATATGGCTTAATTCATAGTTTCCTGTCTTCGCCCTAATTGACTAACCAAGAGCATCAGGGCTGAAATCCCTCAGTAGCGATCGGTAAGCTCGGAACTTCCGCGAAGTTGAGGTTTTCCAGAACAGTTTGTCCAGTCCTCACTGGAGGACCATCGCCCCCCAGGATAGATAAAACAAGGCCTAAAGGATGGAGGCCGGGCACGGTGGCCAGCGCTTTGGGAGGAATCACCTGAGGTCAGGAGTTTGAGACCAGCCTGGCCAACATGGTGAAACCCTGTCTCTATGAAAAATATAAAAATTAGCCAAACGTGTTGGTGGGCACCTGTCATCTCAGCTGCTCCCGAGGCTGAGCAGGAGAATCACTTGAACCCGGGAGGCGGAGGTTGCAATGAGCTGAGATCATGCCACTGCCTGGGTGACTGTGTCTCAAAAAAAAAAAAAAGGATTGAGGGGCACAAACTGAACCCCTCGCCCCATCGGGGGTGGGACAGGGCAGCTTCCCCACATACCTCGCGGTTTTTCTTCTAGAAGGTGTGAAGGAGCCACAGGCTGACCCAGGTGACGTCCTGAGCCGGGAGAGGTGCCTGGAGTCCCTGGCCGCCCTCTGTCATGCCAGGTGGTTTCAGGTCAGCGGGGCAGGGGTGGAGCAGGGGGAGGGGCAGCTTTGGGGAACATGGCTCAGAGGCATCAGCCGGACCCTGCGTGGCCGCCTCAGCCCGTGGCCGAGGGCTCCCCGCACAGACCGGGACGCTCGCCATCAGCTTCCTGGCTCATGAGTGGCCACTTAATGGCCTGGTGGGACCAAACTTATCTGGAAGTGGACTCTGCTTCCACCTGTCACCTTTGAGGCCGGCCAGGTCCCCATCATCCTCCCTGGGGTTCACGCTCATGACAGCGCCCGGCGCCCGTGTGACCCCATGAGCCCCCGAGAGCCAACCGTGCGCGTCTCCCCTGAAGGCTCGAGCCAGCGGCCTGCAGCCATGTGTGATCGTCATCAGGGTCCTGTGAGACCTCTGCCGGAGCGTGCCCACCTGGGGGGCCCTGCCAGCCTGGGTAAGGCATGCCCAGCCCTCCACTGGGAACCCCAAGGGGCTCCATGGCCTCGGCAGCCCCTTTCCCAGAGTACAGCTTTCCTTGAAGGGGCCAGCGAGAGACCGAGTGCTCAAGAGAAGGTGTGGGAGCCCTGAGGTCCCCTGGGCGGGGGAGACGGCTCCCTCCACAGCCTCATTTGACTGCCATTATTCAAAACACAGAACGTTGCATGCAAATTCGGGTCCGGCCAGGGAAATGAGCAGTGACCGCTTGACCTTGTGGCATTGGGTGGACGTGCCCAGGCCAAGGACAGGAAGCGGGACTCCCCATCCTGGCTGCACGCCGGCCTCTGGTTGACCCGGCCCAGACCCACCTGCTCTGGAGGGGAGAAGGCCCCCTGTGGCTCTGATACCACCCTCCAGGCCCTCCTGGTAGAAAGGGGAGGGAAGAGAAGGGGAACCCCCCTCCCCCAATAAGGTTCACGGAGCAGGTCCCATGCCCGTGCTCCCCACGAAGACCCCACGTGCCCACCTAGTCCCCACACCGCCTCCACCAGCCACAGGCCAGCTGTCCACACCCGGCCTCCCTTGTCCTGTGAATGTAGAGGCGCCCACACAGTGCTTTGAGACGCCACCACCGCCCGTGTTCCCCTGTGCCCTCGGGAACTGGCCACACGGGACGTGGTGGGGCGGGATGGCTCCTTCCCCTCAGCTGAGGCGGGCCCCGCGTGTTGGACGGTGCTTATGATGCTGGTGTGTGATGTTACTGTGGACCAGCCGGGCAAACCGAGGCTCAAACGGGTGAAGAAACCAGCCCATGTGGGAGGCTGAGGCAGGAGAATCCCTTGAACCCGGGAGGTGGAGGTTGCAGTGAGATGAGTTTGCGCCACTGCACTTCAGCCTGGGCGACGGAGTGAGACTCGATCTCAAAAAAAAAGAAAAGAAAAGAAACCAGCCCGTGGCTGTGTCAGGAGATGGCAGAGGCCCCCCATGGGCTGCCCTCCTCCATGGAAGTTCAGTGGATGGTGGGAGTTAGAGAACGCGCTGGGAGGCCGGGTGCCGTGGCTCGCCTCTGTCATCCCAGCACTTCGGGAGGCCGAGGCAGGCAGATCACAAGGTCAGGAGTTTGAGACCAGCCTGACTAGCAAGGTGAAACCCTGTCTCTACTAAAAAAAAAAAAATACAAAAATTAGCTGGGCGTGGTCACACACGCCTGTAATCCCAGCTGCTCTGGAGGCTGAGGCAGGAGAATCGCTTGAATCCGGGAGGCAGAGGTTGCAGTGAGCCAAGATGGTGCCATTGCACTCCAGCCTGGGCAACAGAGTAAGACTCGTCTCAAAAAAAAAAAAAAAAAAAAAAAAGCTGGGAGGGGCCTCTTGTCCCAGGGCCCCTGGAACCTCCCAGGCAGGCAGGGGTTGCTGTACCCCTCGGAAAGCACAGCAGCCGCTCTTCTGTCCCCACCAGGCCCTGGAGCTGCTGGTGGAGAAGGTTGTGAACACCGTGGCTGGGCCCCTGGGCCCCGGGGACGCAGTGAGGCGGGTCCTGGAGTGCGTGGCCACAGGGACGCTCCTGCCAGGTCAGTTGTTGGGATGGAGGGCCCAGAAGGTGGGCAGCAAATCACAGAGACCAGGGCCCATAGTCGTGGCACAGAGAGCTGGGGTCACAGACACAGAGGAAGCCTGCAGCCCGAGCAGGAGGGCGGCCCATGACACACATGTGCTCCCAGCAGCGGGGTGGGCAGGCTGCAGCCATGGAGGGCACTGCCCTGCACACAGGGCACGGACACACAGGTCCCCAGAGGGAGGGCTCAGCCCCCACCCAGGAGCAGTTATGTTCTCTTGTGGCCACGCCCACCAGCGGCGGTGGCACAGAGCCACCCCGGCACAGAGCCACCCTGATGCCCGTCCTCCAGAGATCATCCAGAGGGAACAGCCAGTACCTGAGGAGGATGGGGGCACAGAGCTGCGCAGCACAGTGCATTCTACACCAGCACGGGAGAGAACGCGCCAGGATACACTCGTGTGAGGGGGTGGCGGTCAGATACGGAAAAGGTGTTTCTGAGTCATTGTCAGTGACATAGGATGATACTAAGTGCTAAGGAAGAGTAAAGCACTGGGCCCATGGCCTGAGCCGTTATGTAAAACGCGTGTGGGTATGCACACGCACAGGCACACACGGTCATGAGTGCACACGGGCACACGGACGTGCACGCACACAGGCATGCACGTGGGAACACACGAGTGTACACAGGCACACATGCGGGCACATGGGCACGCAGGCACGTGCACACGGGAACACACCAGGTGTATATGCATACGTATGGACATGCAGGCACACAGGCACGGGCACACATGCACACACAGACATGCCTGTGCCTAAGGACATGCACGGGCACACAGGTGCACACAACGTGCGTGGACACATGGGCACACATGGGCACATGCATACATAGACACACGGACACATGGACATGGACAGGCATGCACTCAGGCACGCATGAACACAGACATGCGTGTAACATGGCCCACACATGGACATGCACACGGGCACACCTGGGCACACACAGACATGCACACACACGTGCGCAGAGATGCATGCACATACAGGCACACATGCACACACAGACACAGGCAGACACAGGCACACACAAACATGCATGTGCACACGGGCACCCATGGACACACGAGCATACGCACGCACACGCATGGGTGCACACAGGCATGCACACCCAAAGCCCGGGAGGTGCTGGCAGCCCAGTGGGACTTGAAGGGCTGGGAGGACTCCCCCATGGGCCTGGGTGAACCCCTGCACCTGCTGAGCGAGGCTTGAGGGTCAGCTGCACTGTGGCTGCAGGTATAGCCTGTACACGGGCCCCTGAAGCCCCGCAGTGTTGTGGGATGGGCTTGTCACCGACTTTCATGAGGGCGTCTCATCTTCTTTGCCGCTCCCGCTCCCCCTCACAAAGATGGCCCCGGGCTCCAGGATCCCTGTGAGAGAGACCACACAGACGCCCTCAAGTCCATGACCCTCCAGGAGCGGGACGACGTGACCACCAGCGCCCAGGTAGGAGGGCTGGGCCCCTCGGCCACCGAATCCACGGCAGGGGTCCCAGCTCCATCATCTGGCTGTGCAGTGCTCCCCGAAATAGCCCGGGGTTCCCCTTCCCTCCCTCCCACAGAGGTGTACAGGAACAGGAGGACAGCCCGTGGGTGGCAGGACTGCCCCTGGGGACAGGGCCAGTCTGGCGTGCTGGCATGGGGCTGGCAGCTCAGAGCCAAAGCCACCACCATAACCAGGCCCAGACCTCAAGTTTCACTGGCGGGGACCGTCCTCCGGCCACACTGCTGACCATGGTCCTAAAAGCCCAGCCGTGGCCAGCAGCTTGGCCTGGCCAGCCCTCACCTGTGGTTCCTTGCTTCCACATGTGTTTGTAAGAAAAGCCTCCCAGCAGCACAAAACCCAAACCACACCGGGTCTGCCGTTTATGCGTTACCTTTAAAACGGGATCAGTGGCGTTGCTCACAGTGTAGGATGTGGGGTCCCGCCGGCAAGGCAGAAAGAGCTGGTGGTCAGTGGAGCGGGGGCTTCCTGGGACAGTCCTGGCGGTCAGCCAGCAGCAGGCGAAAATTCCTCGGGCCCTGCGATGATGCGAACTCAGCAGTCGCAGGAAGCGGTGTCTTGGTCGCGCACGGTGGCTCAGGCCTGTCATTCCAGCCCTTTGGGAGGTGGAGGTGGGTGGATCACCTGAGGTTAGGAGTTTGAGACCAGTCTGGCCAACATGGTGATACCATATCTCTACTAAAAATACAAAAATTAGCCGGGCGTGGTAGTGGGTGCCTGTAATCCCAGCTATTCGGGAGGCTGAGGCAGGAGGATCACTTGAACCCGAGAGGCTGAGGTTGTGATGAGCTGAGATCGCGCCACTGCATTCCAGCCTGGGCAACAGAGCAAGACTCCTTCTCAAAACCAAAGTGGGGGAGTGTCTTGAGGGACACAGGGTAGGCCTGGACCGTCCACTGGTGGCCACAGACGCCAGCCCCTCTGTGCCCCCAGCACCCAGGGAGCAGGGTGGCGGGGGTCCTGACGGGCGGTGCGTGCCCTGCGAATGCTGGCCTTCCGGCAGACACACAAAGTCCTGGGCATGGATCTCCTGCCGCCCAGACCCCGGCTCGGAGCCTGCTTCTGGAAGAGGCGGCAGGGGCCTGGTGAGGCCGAGGAGGGCTCAGGGGAGAGGAAGCAGGGCCGGAGGGGCAGAGAAGGCAGAGAGGGGCTCATGTGAGCCGCCTGCCCCCGCTATCTGCCGGCCTTCGCACCCCTGCACTCCTGGACACGTGGACGCCAACCAATGGCTGTTTCATCCCCAATGTTGGACAACAGTAGTTCCTTTAAGTAACGCCCCGCTGGTTTCTTTTAAGACGTGTGCGTGAGGCCGGGTGCTGTGGTGCATGTGTTTAATCCCAGCACTTTTGGGGTCCACGTTGCTTGAGCCCAAGAGTTCAAGGCCAGCCTGGGCAGCAGAGTGAGATCCCCATCTCTCCAAAATATTTTTAAAAGCTTGGCGTGGTGGCTGGCCGGGCGCGGTGACTCAGCCTGCAATCCCAGCCCTTTGGGAGGCCGAGGTGGGCAGATCACCTGAGGTCAGGAGTTTGAGACCAGCCTGCTAACATGGTGAAAGCCGGTCTCTAGTAAAAACACAAAAATGATCCTGGCATGGTGGTGTGCACCTGGAGTCCCAGCTACTCGGGAGGCTGAGTCTGGAGGATTCCTGGAGGCTGGGAGGGCAGTGAACTTCACACCATTGCAGTGCAGCCTGGGCAACAGAAGACCGTGTCTCTTAAAGGAATTTTTTTTTAACATTTGTGCTTAAATTGTTAGAGAGATAGCACCATCCAGCACCGGGAGTGGCACCCGCTTCCTGGAGGGGCCTGTACCCCACAGCCACGTGGGCCAGCAGTACAGCAAGCAGATTCTAAACTCCAGGGTTTCTTGCTGGCTCTGAACTCACCTTGTGGTGCAGGAAGGGGTGGATGTAAAATGCTTCCTTTGGACCAGGCATGGTGGCTCACGCCTGTAATCCCAGCACTTGGGGGGCCCGAGGTTGGTGGATCACTTGAGCCGAGGAGTTTGAGATCAGCCTGAGCAATATGGTGACACCCCGTCGCTACCAAAAATGAGCCGGGCATGGTGGCCCGAGCCTGCAGTCCCAGCTACTCAGGAGGCTGAGGCCATAGGGTCCCTTGAGCCGAGGAGGTCAAGGCTGCACTGAGCCAAGATGACACTACTGAACTCCAGCCTGGGTGACAGAGCAGGACCCTGTCTCAAAAACAAAACAAAACTTTCTTTGGATGCCCTGCGGCGTGGGTTTGAAATCACGTGGGCGAGTCGTGTTCTGGGGCCCCACCATGTGTGTGGACAAGCCCAGGGCAGTGCCTGGCTGGCATCCTTGGGACCCCAGCCCAAAAACAGACCCCCTGCCCAACTTGGCAGCCGGGATGTCAGCAGGGCCTGAGCCAGGCTCATACCCTGCGGGGAGGGCCACAGGGCCAGGTGAGCACCCCAACAGGCGATGAGCGTGCTGGCTGGGCCTCCTCCGGGAACCGGTGTGCCTGACAGACCCGGAGCCCAGACACATCCCACCCCACCCCAGCCCTGTACCACTAAGTGCCTTTCACAGAGAAAACCCTCTCTGACGTGTGTTGCTGACGACTGGAATTCAGCTTTCCTCCTCCTTCCCTGATGTAGACAGCGGCTGGCCCTGAGGCGGGGGTCCCCAAATCCCCCCCTTATGGGAGCAGGGCCCGGGACCTGTGCCTGGGGAAGCTGGGGAGGTGCCACCATCCTGTGGATGCTGGCCGTGGTGGGCAAGCACCTCCTGGCACTGATGGATGGGGGGCACCCCCTTCTGAGCTCCCCCCACCCCAACCTGTTCAGACCTCCCACTTGGTCAGGTTTTCTTTGGCCAGATGCCTTTGGGCAGAGGTGATCTCCCGCCGCCGGCTCGGTTTTGCTTCCCTGTGTATGAAGGAAGGGACAGCCTGCGTGGGGCCCGCTGTGCGCACGGCAGACGCGGGAATAAAGGAAGCCACCCGTCTTCCACGTGAGCTGCGCCGTCCTTCCCGAGGCGTGAGGGTCACTACCATGTGTGGCGAAGACCCCATACTCTGGGTTCTTCACCTCCTTCTCGGGGTCCCCAGTGGGGTTCTCCCAGAAACTGCAGCCTCAATGTGGGCTGGGAGGGCCCCAGGGGGCCGGTACTGCTCAGTGGCTGCTCCCCAAGGCATGGACACCTTCAGGCTGTCCCCTCATGAGGGTCCCCGGTCCCCTGGGAACACAGACACACGTGTCTCAGTGTCTCCCATAACCAGTTCTCTGCCTCCGGCCTCAAGGGTTCCCCTGGCCCCGATCTACAGACACACAGCAAGACGCTCTGGAGGCTCCCCGAGGGCCTCCTGGAGGAGGAGGCAACTACGCTGAGTTTGGGAGAGATGCCTCTGCCCAGAGTGCTTTCCCCACCGCATCCCCAGATCCTCAGAACGCGGGCGGAGAGCACTGAGATGTTGAGACCTGGTCATGGTGGAAGAGTTCTGTGATAGCTTCCAGCCCTCGGGGCTTCCCTGGCAGTGCTTTCGGGGGCAGGCAGGGAGCAGAGTGGGGAGGAGGCAGACACAGGGCGGCAGGACGGGAGTGGCGGGGGCTGGGCGTGGAGGGACCGCTGTTTCATGCCCAGGCCAAAGGAAGCGGGTGGGGAGCCAGCGAGGGGTTCCCTTCTAGCAGGGACTATCTGTCAGCAACAGGAATTGCTGGTTTGGCCTCTCAGCCACCGGCCTCCTCCATCTCACACCATCTCTCCTGCTTTCTGTTCTATTCCAAATTTCTTGGGAATGTCACCTCCCTTCCTACAAACTCTGCCCCCACACAGCCCCTCTCTGTCAGCTTCACGGCCAGGTGCCCAAGATGACAGCCGCCACCGCCAGGTAGCCCTCCTGGATTCCTCTGTGCTCCCGGCCAATTCACGAGGATATCTTGTCAATTCCAGTTCCACTTCCTTCTCGTTTTTGTTTCCCAGACAGGATCTCACTCTGTCGTCGGAGTGCAGCGGCTCGATCTCAGCTCACTGCAAACTGAGCCTCTAGGGTTCCAGCGATCCTCCCGCCTCAAGCCTTCCTAGTAGCTGGGACTACAGGCCTGTGTCACCAGGCCTGGCTAATTTTGTGTATTTCTAGTAGAGACGGGGTTTTGCCATCTTGCCCAGGCTGGTCTCAAACTCCTGACCTCAGGTGACCCGCCTGAGCCACCACGCCTAGCCTATTCCTTCACTTTTTTCTTTTCTTTTCTTTTTCTTTCTTTTTTTTTTTTTTTTGAGACAGAGTCTTGCTCTGTGGCCCAGGCTGGGGTGCCATGGCGTGATCTTGGCTCACTGTAACCTCCGCCTCCCGGGTTCAAGCGATTCTCCTGCCTCAGCCTCCTGAGTAACTGGGACCACAGGCACCTGCCACCATGCCCGGCTAATTTTTTGTATTTTTAGTAGAGACGGGGTTTCACAGCACTAGACAGGCTGGTCTCCAACTCCTGACCTCGTGGTCTGCCCACCTCAGCCTCCCAAAGTGCTGGGATTAGAGGCGTGAGCCACCGCGCCCTGTCTGTTCCTTGACTTTAACCCATGCAACTCTGAGACAATTTGGTATCTGTCTTCCCCTTGAGAATGTGAACTTTCCGCGGGCAGGAAGCCTGGCATCACCAATGCAGTCACCACTGTATACCGAGATCTTGGGCGGGTCAGGTGGATCCAGCAATTTGCGAGGTCAGGCCAGCGGACCAATAGAACTCAGGAGTTTGAGACCAGCCTGGCCAACATGGTGAAACTCCGTGTCTACTAAAAATACAAAAGTTAGCTGGGCGTGGTGGCCGGCGCCTGTAATCTCAACTACTTGGGAGGCTGAGGCAGGAGAACACTTGAACCCAGGAGGCGGCGGTTGCAGCGAGCTGACATCGTGCTGCTGCACTCCAGCCTGGTGACTGAGGGAGACTCTGTCTCAAAAAGAGAATACTTGGCCAGGCGCGGTGGCTCCCGCCTGTAATCACAGCACTGTGGAAGGCTGTGATTTCAGGGGTTTGCGACCAGCCTGGCCCACAAGGTGAAACCCCGTCTCTACTAAACATACAAAAATTAGCGGGGCATGGTGACGGGTGCCTGTAATCCCAGCTACTCTGGAGGCTGAGGCAGGAGAATCTCTTGAGCCCGGGAGGCGGAGGTTGCAGTGAGCCGAGATCGCGCCACTGCACTCCAGCCTGGGTGACAAGTCTCAAACATAAAAAGAACACCATTTGTCTCCATCTCGTTACGGGAGAGAGACTCCAGCCAAAGCAATGGGGACAGAGGGAAGGGACGGGGGAAGGGGCACACCCTGGCAGGCCTGGCGATCACAGCAGGAGGCACGTGGTCCGCTGCTGTGAACCCCAGGCGGTACCTGCAGGCCGGCTTCCTTCCTTACACCCCGGGAGAGGCGGTTCTCGGAAGCCTCCCACCCACGGCTCCCGTTCCCATCCCTGGCTCCCCGGGAAGGCGAAGAGGATTCCCACCGCCAGGTGGATGCCAGCCAGCCCCGCTGACAAAGAGTTAAGTCGGCCCTCCTAGCAACTCCAAAACACCAAGTTTAGGCGGCGCGACAGCAAAATCCAGCAGTTGGTTAGCAGAGGGATTCGGTGCAGATGGATGGACCGTCTGGGCCACGGAGCCCAGGGCCCTGAAAAGCAGTGGCTCCTGACCCGTCCTCCCCAGCCCTACCCGGCAGCAGTCCTGGAGCAGGCCAGTGGGTGGAGGGAAGACACCCCAGACTGCAGGGGCGGGAGAAGCACCCCCCCACCCAGAGACCGGGAGCACGGGCCCGCGGCTGCGGATGCTGGCGGTGAGCTGGGTTGCTAGGCGACCTCGGTGAGTGTGGGCGGGATGATACCGGGCGTGTGGGCCGGGCTGGAGCCCAATGCTGCAGGAGGTGCCAGAAAGACAAAAACGAAAGGGCAGACTGACAGCTGCCTCTGCAAGGTCACAGACAGCACAGAGGCACGGCCACTGGGATGCCCTGAGGCCCCCCCAGCCCAGTCACTATCAGTGTGGCAGGCAGCCTGTCCCTGGCCAGGCTCAGGGTCCTTTGGGAAAAGATTGTCGCTGCCGGTCTTGTCGCTGGCTACCTCCCTAGTTGAGCTTCTAGGACTAAGATGTTTGGGGTGAGCAGACCAAGACCCGCTTACGTCGTTAAGGTGGAGAAGGCATCTGGGTGG